TGGGGGGGACCGCAGGGAGTGGGGACAGGGACACGGGGACAGGAACAGGGACACGGGGACACAGGGACACAGGGACACAGGGACAGGGACACAAGGACAGAGGGACAGAGGGACACAGGGACACAGGGACACAGGGACACGGGGACACGGGGACACAGGGACAGGGACACAAGGACAGAGGGACAGGGACACAGAGACACAGGGACACAGGGACAGGGACACAAGGACAGAGGGACAGGGACAGGGACAGGGACACAGGGACACAGGGACAGGGACACAGGGGCACAGGAACAGGGACACAGGGACACAGGGAAACAGGGACAGGGACACAGGGACACAGGGAAAGGGACAGACACAGGGACATGGGGACACAGGGACACAGACAGGGACACAGGGACAGTGCTTAGTGTGCCACAGGGTTTCACCCACTGACCTTCCAGCCCCACCTGGGCTGTGCAGCAGGACAAGGCAGGACAAGGCAGGACAAGGCAGGACACGGCAGGACACGGCAGGACAAGGCAGGACACGGCAGGACAAGGCAGGACAAGGCAGGACAAGGCAGGACAAGGCAGGACACGGCAGGACAAGGCAGGACACAGCAGGACAAGGCAGGACGAGGCAGGACGAGGCAGGCAGGAAGGGACAGAGCACAGGGATGCTCTGGGACACTGGCACAGGTGCCCAGAGCAGCTGGGGCTGCCCCTGGATCCCTGGCAGTGCCCAAGGCCAGGCTGGACATTGGGGCTGGAGCAGCCTGGGACAGTGGGAGGTGTCCCTGCCATGGCTGGGGTGGCACTGGGTGGGTTTAAGGTCCCTTCCAACCCAAACCAGTCTGGGATATTCACCCAGGATTCTGGGGCCATGCATGGGGGCACTGGGGCCGTGCACTGCGACACCAGGACAATGCACCAGGCATGGGGACAATGCAATGGAGCCTCTCACCAAAGGTCCCAGGGGGATGGGGACTGGGACACTGCACTGGGGATCTGAATATGGCACTGGGACAGTGTCACCAAGCCACTGGGCAGGAACAGGGTCCCATTGCACGGGGAAGGGACAGCTGGGTCAGGCAAAGCAATTAATTATTATCCAACTTCATCCACTGTTCTTTTATTCAGTGTATACTTTTACCCACTGTTAATTATTATCCAAATTAATTAATTATGATAGTAAGGAAGGTGCAGGGTTTGGGGTCTCCGAGCCCCCTCTGCTCCAGGGGCTTTCCTTGAAGGCAGGGAGCTGTGGGGATGTGGGCAATGTGTGACCTGGCAGAACAAGGTGGTGCCCTGGGGAGGTGGGAGGTTCTGGGGTGCTGTGGGGACCACCTGGATCTGGCCCAGGGCTGGATCCTGGGATTGGGATGCAGAGCAGCTTTCAGCATCCCTGTGCTGGCTTCATCCTTGCCTCACACTCCAGTTTTCCAACCTTAATCCCACCTCCAAATCCCAAACCCCAATTCCAAGCAGGTCAACATCCCCCAACCCTAAATCTCATCCAAATCTCCAGGTGAAACATTTCCTTTGCCAACTGAAGATCAAATAAATAAAACTAAATAAAGAATAAATAAAAAAAAATTAATAAACATATTAAACAAAAGCAGTAAAGCCTTTTAAACCTCGGGCCATTTCCAAGCTCTGACTCAGGATTCCAGCTCGGAACAGCGACAGGGCCCCGAATCCCGAGCGCTGATTCACGGGACACGTGCTGTGTGCTATAAGCGGCCGGGAATGCGAAGCTGCTGCTTTCCATGGGATCCTTTCCAACCCGCTGGCGGGCGGGAGAAAATAGCAACGCCGCGGGAGAGGAGGAACCGCACGGGGATTTGTTGGTGCTGCGGATTTTGCAGCCAGAGGTGTTTATCCTGGTCATCCCAGCGGGTCCAGGCATCTGCTGCTGAATTCCTGGGAATGCAGTTTCAATGGGAGGAAAAGAACTTGGAGCAGAGCCCAGTTATGTGAGTTGCAAGTGCATTTTTGGGGTGACTCTGGTGTCCCCTGACCCCAAAGTATTCAGGAAGAGCTTTATCCCCCCCAAACAGCCCAGGAACTGTCCAGATGTTGCAGGAGTTGCCCACGTCTTGAACTACAGCACTAAAATACTGCCCCAGGCTGCTCAGGGGCTGCCCAGATGTCTCCTGCGTGTACAGAGGTTGCTCTGGGATAACCAGAGCTTGTTCCAGGAGTGCCCATTTGTTGCTCTGGGTGCCCAGATGTTGCTCAGGACACACAGATATCACCCAGGATGCCCAGATGCTGCCATGGATGCCCCAATGCTCCCTCAGTATGTTCCAATATCCCCCAGGGTACCCAGATGCTGCCTTAAGTATCCAGACGTCACCCCAGGATACTCAGGTATCACTCAAGGTGCCCAGATGTTGCCCAGATGTTTCTCCAGTGTGCCCTGCTCTCACCCCTGGATGCCCAACTGTCCCACCCAGGGGCTGGCAGTACCCCTGCAGCCCTGCCACTGGGGAAAGTCACCTCCTGTTCCTGTCCTGGAGCTCCTGGTTCCCACAGCCCAGCCAGGCCTGGAACAGCCTCCCTGTTTCCCTGGATTTTTGGGAGAAGCCTGCAGTCACCCGTCCCTTCCTGCCCCACCCACCGCAGCGGTGGCTGTGGGAAAACGGCAACCAGGAGAAGAGGAAATGGCCTCAAACTGTGCCAGGAGAGGCTCAGGTTGGACATCAGGAGGAATTTCTCCATGGGAAGGGTGGTCAGGCATTGGAAGAACCTGCCCAGGGATCTGGTGGAGTCCCCATCCCCGGAGGTGCCCAAGAACAGTTGGACTCCGTGCTCTGGGCTGGTGACAAGGTGAGGGTCAGGCACAGCCTGGACTCGATGATCCTGGGGGTCTTTCCCACCACCCACACCCACCCGTGTTGCTCTGGGACGCCCCAGCTCACGCTGCTGCCCCTCCCCGGGTGTCCCATCAGTGGGGACAGTCACCTGCGGGTCCCAGCACTGCGCCTCGGCCCGGTGCCACCCAGTCCACAGCTGGGCTCAGGTGGGCTCTGGGTGCCCCAGGTGTGACGGCAAAGGGGGTGCCCTGGGTCCCCAGCGGCGCTGCCGGGGTGGCGAGTGGCCGCTGTGTCCCTTGGGCCGCTCCCCGGTGCAGGCGGACC